AATGTTAGTATTAAAAGAATTATCAACTCTCCCAACCATCTCCTACTATATACATTTACTTCTAAGGCTGAAGTCAAGAGTTTAAACTTTACATTTTAATTTTAAAATTCTATTTTTTTTAACATAAGCATATACAAGCAGTAAGCAATACATTTTTACACACATATTTCTTTCTCATTTTCCCTTCTCCATTCCTTACTTTACCTGCAAAACAATTTTTAGGCACACCCCCACACACAAAACAAACAAACAAACAACAAGAACAACAACAAAATAATTTGCCCCACATTTCATTCCTATTTCTTTCCTCCTTTGTAATAATAAAGATAATTTTCATCCAGGTCAGAATAGTTCATAGCAGTTGACTAGGAAATAGAGAGCTAAATTCTAATGTTTTTGCCACTGATTGTGGCATAATCATAAATAAGTTGCTAGACTTTAACAAGTGAGCATGAAGATTTTTAAGATTGCCATGGCAGTAGGTATGTTTATGAGCAACTGGATAGTTTCACAAAGATCCCAGGTCTCCCTCACTTTCATTTTGAAGTCAGGTAAATTTGGGTAGATTCAAGTGTCACAAGTAAAACTTGAGACACTGGAGCAAGCATGTCAAACTCAAAGGCTAACACAAGCCATATAAACAAGGTTTAAGTTTATGAAAAACAAAAGCTTCAATTTTCATAGAAACGTAGATTTATTTTGATAGAGACAAAGGGCTAAAATAAATGAGTCATCATTAACATATAAAAATAGAACATTTTAATAAAAATTCATATTTTTCTTAAACATTAACTTTCCAGACACTGAATAATTGCACAAATAAGTGTAACTCAGATAAACATTTTTCTCTGAAAGTGAAATATTTCCTGCTGCATACACCAAACAAGTCAGTACAAGACTAATGATGTGGCAATTGGTTGCTAAAATATTCGCTGATAGTATTAGTGGAGAGAAATGGTGAGCCTGCGCATAAGGCGTGTAGGGAAATGAATGCAACACAATTACAGTAATCAGTCATTAGCGAACATTTTAGTTAATTATTAATAATATGTATAACAAGTTATTGTAAAAATTAAGTTACAACAATTTTATTAACATTTTTCTTATATACCGTTATATTGGCTGGGCCACAAAAACATTCATTGTTGTCTGCATGTGGCCCATGGGCCAGGAATTTGACATGCTTGCACTGGAGCATCGATACATATTAGCATGCTTTTCCAAAAAGTTATTTTTCTTCCTAAATTAATGGTTTTCACAAGGCCACACAATTCAAAAGGTCATCAGGGACTGTGAACTCAAACTCTGAATTTATCTGTATCATTGATTTTGTCTGTGATATGAAACTCAACCTTTCTATCTTTAGTTTCATCATCTGCTAAATGAGCACCAAAGTTATTTGATTCAAGGAATTATGAAAAATTGCAAACTTATCTTTCTAAAATCCTCCATAATAAAATAATGGGGAAATAAACAACCAATGTGTAAGCATCTTTGAGCAGAATTTTCTAATTTTAAATAGATTTTCAATTTGTATAGTAACAGTGTGTTGCACCATACAATTTCTTTCATAATGTTTTTTTTACAGAGATGTCCCTAAGCTCTTTTATTTCCCTTTTTTTTTTTTTTTTTCTAAATAAAAAACACTATTACTTCTAGCATTCAATTAATCAAAAACATTCTTTTACTTTACTGTATTTAAGTAAACAAACAATAAATCCAACATCTGACAAAGATTATTTTCCTATTTTCCTCTATCTTCCCCTCACCCAATGTGAATAAACTCTTCCTATAAAAAATAATGTTTTCCTAAAATAATGACTCCCATAACTATAACATACTAGTAGATTTTCTTTAATGGTAAAAAATAAAGCCAATGTAATTTGCATATCTCCTTTTTGAGACAAAATAATATTTAGCAAGGTCAAAATGACAGAGTATTTAAAGTTCTTAAACACTTTTGGCAATTTTGTGTACAGAGCAATGAAGAATCCACCTTATTATAGAGCTAGGGATGACACTACTCTAACCTTTCCAGCTTTAGAGCAACAAGGCATTTTCTACATGTGCACAGCACTTTCATCCTTTTAGGTATTATAAAAATTTAAATGAAATCCATCTCAGCACCATGGTAAAGGAAGTAGTGTGCCTTATTCTGCCTATTGCAAAAACTAAATGTAAATAAAATATAGCTATATGTCTAGACTCTCAATTTCTTGTTGGCAGGGACTATTTGCTTATTTACTGTGACTAACAGTTCTTGATAGAAACAAAACATCAAGAAGAAAGGAAAGAAGGAAGGAAAGAAGGAAGGAAGGAAGGAAGGAAGGAAGGAAGGAAGGAAGGAAGGAAGGAAGGAAGGGAGGGAGGGAGGGAGGGAGGGAGGGAGGGAGGGAGGGAGGGAGGGAGGAAGGAAGGAAGGAAGGAAGGAAGGAAGGAAGGAAGGAAGGAAGGAAGGAAGGAAGGAAAAGAGGAGGAAGGAAGGGGTGTGGGAACCCTTAACACGACCCGCGTGATTAGGGTCTGGTCTAGTTTCTGGAGGAGGCCACACACTAAAATGAAGAGAGAGACTAGAAAAGAGTTAATTTGGGACAAATGAGGGGCCAGGTGGGAGTCAACCTCTAGTGGGAAGACTCTCTAGGCTCTGGCCTTGCTATCCCTTTTATTGAGGCTGCTATGGGATACATTCATTACCCTTAAACAGCTTTGGGAAACACCCATAGCCCTTAGGCAGGTAATAAACAGATTATCATATCATGTAAGGATTTACATGATTACAAGATGGGGAAGTTGCCTCAGTTACTATTGTCTCAATTAGATAGGGTGTGGTTGGCTCTGACCTTTCAGAGCTTCAATGTTGACCAGCCTCTTTCTATTAGTGAGACAATGATTGCAGTCCGGCAAAGAGGGAGGGAAGGAGGGAGGGAAGGAGAAGGAAGGGAGGGAGGAGGAAGGGAGGGAGGGAGGATTAAGATAATTATTTTGAACATTTTTGCCAGGATACTTCATAAAGTGCACTTTTGTGAGATTCCTTTGGCATTTTAGAGGTAGAAAAAAAAGACCCAAATATATTTTCTCCTGAAGTCTCCCAGAACTTTTTAAAAATACGAAAATTAACAGGTGACAGGGTTACCAATTAGTGCAACAGGAAGGAAGGAAGCACACTGAATATTTATACAATCTAAATTTAGAAATGAGATTTTTTTTAAAAATTAGGAAGATATAAAAACTGAAAAATATTTCCCTTTAGTTTCCTATTTAAATGAAAGGATTGATTCTAATTGAAATTCACTTGGTTAGGAAAGCTATCCACAAGTTTAGTTTAAAACCTGGGGAAGCGAGGTCAGCAAGGTAACACAGTTTCTATTTAATTCTCAATTTACATTAAACCACAGGAAAATTAATCATTCTAAATAAATTTCAAAGTAAGTGAGGAAGGAAGGGGTTTTGCATTTTTCTAAGCCCTTGCTGAGAGGCTATCCTATCCTTTCTCTTCCTGTCTTGCAGAAAGTTACTGGTTGCATTTAACTTACACTATTCATTTACTCTTCAGATATAACATATTATGAGATGTTTTTCAATGAATATTAGCCTCTGAAGAGTACAGACTCTCTGACAGTTTCCCTTAAATTATGTGGATACATAAGCATTTTGCAAACCCATTTCACAACTGCACACATTATAATTTATACATTAAATACAACAAGGTTTCACCTTAGGCTTCCTGCCAAGAATAATCACATTAAGTCTTTTTTTATCTTTTAGTAAGATGATAATTATAAATTTGAAAGTAGCAGCAAAAGAAATGTGTTAAAAAGAATTTAGAATAATATCTTTCATTTGAACACAGGAAGACTGATGAAGGACAGAAATTATTGAGGGTAAGGGGCAAATCATTTTGGGAAGGGGGTGAGAGCTAACATGCCAAGTACAAAGCATGACATTAAACTGAAGGTGAGCTAGATCTGTCTAATCTTCCCAAGCACAAACAAGCCTGTCTTTGTGCTGAAAAGACAGGAAAACTCACACATCCCCCATTGGAATTCATTGGTTAAAAGCCAGCAATGAAATAGACATGCAAAATATTACTTATTGCTTGTACTTTCCAGTAGTTGGGGCTAACAATTTAGCAACTATATTTTCCCTGAAGATAAATAGTATGTTCACTTAATTTCTCTTTTGTTACAACCTGAATGTGTATAGTCTAATCTTGGAGTCTCTTCCTCCACACTGCAGGTGCTTCCCTTTTGCTAATTAAACATTAACATTGTGCAATTGTTGGTGCTCTAAAATTGGTTGTTAATCACCTATGACTAGGAAGATTTCAGAAAGTCTAAATTGTGTTCCAGAAAAAAATTTCAATAAATACAAGATGTTTCCGTCCTCTAAAACATTACACCAGAAGTTTATAATTTATTTTTCAAGATTTCTACTTTAAATGGCATTGTTTTGCTACAACTTCATTCCTTGAAGGAGTGAGTAGGAGTATGATATATGGATAAAGGATGTCCCTAAAGGAAGTATGTCATATCATTTAGGGCCTAAAGTCAAAGTTAAAGGCAGGCGATTTTACTCAAATCTTATACATGTTATCAGAAAATTCCTTTTATTTTTCTCCTGAAATGCACTGGTTAATGTTAAAGTTTATATCTCCTATGAGAAACATCTATAACCAAGTAGTACTTTTAATATATGGACAAAAGGATATGGGTTTAAAGAGAATACTGACAAAAATATGAAATTCAGGAGTCAAATGTAAGTATGAGTGTGTGTACAAGTACATAAAATGAAAATCAGGACCCAAGTGAGAAAAAAATATCCTGAATTAGATCCCCAGTCTATCATTTAGTTAGTTAGTTTTAATATATGTTTTAATATATATTTTTGGCATCTGAAAGCAGTGACATGCTTGAAATAAATTATACCAGCTTCTAAGCAGGAACTGTGTGTGTCAGCTCCTAATTTCACACTGAGGATCTCAGGTTGGTGGCTTGAAATAGGCCATGGTGAGAGTGTTTACATTATGGAAGTCAGTAAAAACTACAGATCAGAGATCCAGTCCCATCCTAAGGCCCAGCCAGTTAAATATTTACCAGCACACAACTGTCTGAAAAGAAAGCATTGTGGCCATGATTTCTAAATCAAATAATTCTTCATTTCTCCTTTCCATTTTAATTGTTTATATAATTTAAAATAAAACCATTATGTCTGCAATGAAAAATCATGAAGGCCCTGGCTGATAATTCAGTTGGTTAGAGTCTTGTCCTGATATGCCAAGGTTATTTGTTCGATCCTCAGTCAGGGCACATGCAAGAGTCAACCAATGAATGCAACAAAATTTGATGTTTTTCTCTCTCTAAAATCAATAAGCATTTTTTTAAGCACGAAGAAAGGCATTGTAAAATCTTTGATATTAACAAAACTTAAATATGGGATACATATATGTGTTCCAAAACATATGGAAAGCCTGTTCTAACTATTTAGTAGTAAAGAAAAAGAGTATCATTAGAGGCATCAAAACATTACAACAGATTTGGAACTGCTATTATTGTCTCTAGGGTCTTGGGCAAGTCACCTAAACCTTCTGTATTGGAGACCAGGTATAAGCTGGCACGGCCCTTGCACCCGAAGTGGCTAGAAAGGCTGGTCCCCTACCCACACAGTTTTCCCAGGCTTGTTTGGATGGTGATTATCAGTAGATGAGAGCAACCTTTCATGGCTTACCAAGAAGTCTGTAACTATTTACTGAGATCTGCTGTACTGAGAATTTGTCCTTCTGCTCTGTCTCTCCCTTAAGATTAAGAGGAACAAAGAGTACATTCCTCTTGACATACCTCCTATTCAGTGTTTGTGTATAAAAGGCCATTACACATTTAATAAACCTGCTGCAGTTGGTCAATGGCTACCTGCAGTCCTCCGGATCCCACTCTCCTGTCTTTCTTTCTTCTCTCAATTCCCACCTCCCTACTTCAGCTTGATTCAACTTGTCAGGCTGGCCCTGGCTCTTCTGAACTAACTAACTCTCTCTCTCTCTCTCTCTCTCTCTCTCTCTCTCTCTCTCTCTCTCTTCATATATATATATACACACACACAACCTTTATTACTAAACTACTGGAATAACCCCTGACTGGAATGACCTGTCAATCATTCACTAAAACATGCACTGACCATCAGGGAGCAGACACTCAATGCAGGAGCTGCTCCTTGGTGGTCAGTGCACTTCCACAGAGGGAGTACCACTCAGCCAGAAGCCAGGTTCATAAGTGACAATCACAGCTGTGGTGGCAGGAGCCTCTCCCACCTCCGCAGCAGTGCTATTGGGCAGCAGTGGCAGCAACAGCAGGCACAGCAGGGCCAAGATGAGTAGAGGTGGAGTTGCGCCCTGCCCTGGCTGGGACTCCTCCCTGTCTGCCTGCCACTTTGGCAATGCTACATCACTCAGACCAAACACTGGCAGTCTGACATCCCCCTGAGGGGTCCTGGATTGCTAGAGGGCACATGCAAAGCTGAGGGACCCCACCCATGCATGAATCCGTGCACTGGGTCTCTAGTTCCTCTATATTTGTACACTGAAAATGTTAGTTTGAATGACTTCTTCTAGTCTTTATATTTGATAATATAGGATCTTTGTGATAATTCCATGGTAACTTCAATTTTCCCTTTTTATGGGAAAAAATAACAGTCAGGATGACTTATGTGAAATTTATTTATTTAGTTAGTTAGGTAGTTAGTTAGTTTTAATATATATTTTTACAATATACAAAATAAATCTATTAACAGATTATAGGTACAAAATAATTATATATTATCATGTAATAAACATTAACATTTCAAGAAAAAATATTATAATATAACCAAAAGTGTACTATTGTAATATCATATATCACAAAAATTATAGAAAACATTAAAAATCTGCAAATAAGAGTAACTTCTATTATATTCTAAAATATTTTTTACTCTGGCTCTATTTTTGTTCATCAGTTTATGTTGTTTATTATATTCCATCTATGAGTGAGATCATGTGATATTTATCTTTTCTGACTGGCTTACATCACTTAGCATAACGCTCTCCAGTTCCATCCATGCTGTTGAGAATAATAGGAGTTCCTTCATTTTTACAACAGGGTAGTATTCCATTGAGTAGATGTACCACAGGTATTTTTTTAATCCACTCATCTATTGATAGGCACTTAAGCAGTTTCAAATCTAAGCTATTGTAAATTGTGCTGCTATGAACATAGGGGTGTATGTATCCTTTTTAATTGGCATTTTTTATCACAATACCAGATATCAAGCTATATTACGAAGCCACTGTTCTCAATACTGTCTGGTATTAGCACAAGAACAGACATATATATGAAGGGAACATAACAGAGAACCTAGAAATTAACCTGAGCCACTATGACCAATTAATATTTCACAAAGGAGGCAAAATCATACAAGGAGTCAAGTCAGTCTCTTCAATAAATGGTGTTGGGAAAATTGGACAAATACATGCAAACAAATTAAACTAGACCATTAACTTGTACCATACACAAAAGTAAACTCAAAATCAATAAAGGACTTAAATATAAGATGGGAAACCATGAAAATCTTAGAAGAAGCCATAGGCAAGAAAATAGCAGATATTTGTCATAGAAATATCTTTATAGATGCAGCTCCTAAGACAATGGAAACTAAGGAGAAAATAAACAAATGGGACTACATCAAAATAAAAACCTTCTGCACAGCAAAAGAAACCATCAACAAAACAACAAGAAAGCCCACTGCATGGAAGACCATATTTGCCAATATTATCATGGAAAAGGGTTTAATCTCCAACATTTACAGGGAACCCATACAACTTAAATAAAAGGAAGATAAACAACCCAATTAAAAAATGGGCAAAGAACCTAAATAGACAATTTTTAGAAGAGGACATACAGAAGTCCAAAAGACATATAAAAACATCCTCAAAGTCACTAATCATTAGAGAGATACAAATCAAAATGACAATGAGGTACCATCTCACACCTGTCAGGATGGCTATCATCAACAAATCAACAAATGACAAGTGCTGGCAAAGATGTGGAGAAAAGAAACCCTCTTGCACTGCTGGTGGGAAAGCAGACTGGTGCAGCCACTGTGGAAGACAGTATGGAATGTCCTCAAGAATTTAAAAATGAAACCACCATTTGAACCAGTGATGCCACTTCTAGGTTCATTTTGAACATAATATCAACTCCCACCCCTTTGAAGTCCCAGTTTCCTCCTTATTCAATCTTACTACATTAACAAGCATTATATATATATATATATATATATATATATATATATATATATATATATATATATATGGAGAGAGAGAGAGAGAGAGAGAGAGAGAGAGAGAGAGAGAGAGAGAGAGAGAGAGAGAGAAGATACAGAATTTGGACAGGTTCAAGCCTTGGACCAATGAGAGGGCACAGTCCTCTGGTGGCAAAGCCACATGCAAGTCCCAGCTTAGAGTGAAAAGCCCTGCCAGCACAATTATAGCTAAAGGCTATAGTTGTAAGCTTGACCTTATGGCCTGAACTTGTGGTCCCAGGTGGCTAAGTGATATAGGCTGTAGGAGGTGCAGGAGGTGCTGACAAAACAAAGCTTGATAGAGTTCAGGTGCATGTAATTGAGTAGATTTGAAATCCTTGAGAACTTTGTAAACATCTTGACAATGCTCTTTGCCTCCTGGAATCTGGCTATAAAATAAAGAGTCAGCTTGGAGGATGTGGCACTGTCTCTCCATCCAAAAACAGTGTCTCATCTAGGCCCAGCTTTATCCTCTTAACTGTCTTCTTTAATCCTTCACTACTCACCCCCCTCAGGTTCACCCCTGGCTGTGCTGAGAACAGCATATATGGCACCCAATGTGGGGAACTACAATTGTAAAGTGAAAGGACGCTCCAGTGAAGCATACACAGAAAGCAAAAGTGAGGAAGGAGCAAAGTTTATTAGTAGCTGGGTGTAAAACATGGGAAATTCAGGATCTCAGGAAAGGGACCACTAAAACATTGCTCAAAGAAGCATAGTCAAATTCATAATTTCTTAAGTTTTGCTAAGGACTGTAAAGCTCAAAGTGGAAGGCAAAAGAACTGAAATGTAAATAGCAAAGGTACTGAGATATTGCTTAGCATTAATATTTTAATTTTTATAACAAAGAAACCTTAGGTGAGATAAGTAGAACATAATTATCATTTAAAGAAAATTAGAGATATTTAAACTATATATTAAGTGCCATATTCAAAAGAGAAAATTGAAGGTGATTTAAGAGAAGGCTTCAAATACATGGAGCAGGAAAAATTGTGTCATTTGAAGCTGAATTACTCCTAACAGCATTATTAGCTCAAGATGGGTAATTGTTAATTTATAAGTCAAAGGATAAAATTTTAAAGATTAGAAAATAGAAGATAGAAATGAGATAATAACAAATAGAAAACTAGAAGATAGAAAGTATAGAAGATAGAAATTAAAATATATGAGATAGAAAATAAGATAAAAATATAGGAAATAAGAGAAAGTATAAGAGAAAATAAGAGATAGAAAATAGGAGATATAAAAAATAAGTAGAAAAGTGTAAGATAGAAAATAAGATATAGAAGATAGAAAATAAGATACAGATTAAGTAGAAAATAGAAAATAAAATATGCAAGCCATTGGTAGGATTGTGGCTGGTCCTGAGGCTGTATTGAAACAGTTACATGAGGAAGTGGTTATGTTTGTATCTTTCCAGAGAAAGCAGAGCAGCCGATTTGGGTGCCAGAACATTATGTGCATCCCCACAGTGGACCCAGAGAATCTCCTTGTCCCTCCATTCAAAAGATTGAGAGTTGTGATGCAGAAGAAGAAAATGAAGGCTAAGTAAGGGGCTGAGGTGCAAACATGAGGTCAGCTGATGAAGTTAATGACTGAGGCCGGGCAGATGGTGAAAAAGCAAGAAGTGGAAGCTACTCCCTCAACCATATTTCTGGCTATGCTAGCATTGGTTAGCTGCCACTCTTCTGTAAAGTCTTGCACAGCCAAGTCTGAGGACTCTGAGTAGATATACACCAGCAGCAAAAGAAACTTTAACATATCTCTCTTGTTACTGTATTTGTTGTTTTGTTAATAGCCAGAGTTATGTTCTTGATGTTTTGATTATGTTGCATAATTTGCTGCAAACATTTAAAAAAATATATACTTTATTGATTTTATACAGAGAGGAAGGGAGAGGGATAGAGAGTTAGAAACATCGATGAGAAAGAAACATCCATCAGCTGCCTCCTGCACACCCCCTTCTGGGAATGTGCCCACAACCAATGTACATGCCCTTGACAGGAATGGAACCCAGGACCTTTCAGTCCACAGGCTGACGCTCTATCCAAGGGGGAGGGGATGTGGAGGGCAGCTACAGTGTTTGGACAGGTTCAAGACTCCACTAATGAGAGGGCACAGTCCTTTCCTGGCAAAACCACATGCAAGTCCCAGCTTAGAGAGCAAAGCCCTCCCAGCACAATTATAGGCAAAGGCTATAGTTGTAAGCTTGACCTTATAGTCTGAACCTATGGTTCCAGGTGGCTTAGTGATATAGGCTGTAGGAGGTACAGGAGGTGCTGACAAAACAAAGCTTGAAAGGTCCCACCAAGAATGATCAATCCACTCCACTCCCTTTCTATGCTCCTGATTCTATTATATTCACCAGTTCATTCTGTTCATCAGATTTTTAATTCACTTGATTTTTTAGGTTCACTTGTTTGTTTGTTTTTTAATTTTTTAATTAAATTATTATCTGTGTACATATTTTTACCATTGACTCCCCTCCCATACATACCCATCCCCCCAAGAGTTTTGTGTCCATTGGTTGTACTTATATGCATGTAGACAAGTCCTTCGGTTGATCTCTTATCTCCCCCAGATCTCCCTCCCCTCCTTGCTGTAATTTGAAAGGCTGCTTGTTGCTTTACTGTGTCTATATCTATTTTTTGGTTCATCAGCTTATAATGTTCTTTATTATCCATAAATGAGTGGGGTCGTGTGGTGTTTCTCTTGCATTGACTGGCTTATTTCACTCAGAATGATGTTCTCCAATTCCATCCAGGTTGCTGCAAATGATAATTCCTTATTTTTTATGGAAGCATAGTATTCCATTGTGTAGATATAGCATTGTTTTTTGATCCATTCATCTGCTGATGGGCACCTAGGCTGTTTCCTATTTCTAGCTATTGTAGATTGTGCTGCTGTAGACATAGGGGTACATATATCCTTTCAGACTGGTGTTTCTAGTTTCTTGGGATATAATCCTAGGAGTAGGATTACTGGATCAAATAGGAGTTCCATTTTCAGTTTTTTGAGGAAACTCCATACTGTTCTCCACAGTGGTTGCACCAGTCTGCATTCCCACCAGCAATGCACGAGGGTTCCTTTTTCTCCGCAACCTCGCCAACACTCATCGTTTGTTGATTTGTTGATGTTGGCCATTCTGACAGGTGTGAGATGGTACCTCATTGTTGTTTTGATTTGCATCTCTCGGATAAATAGTGACTTTGAGCATGTTTTCATGTGCCTCTTGGCCTTCCTTCTGTCTTCTTTTGAAAATATTCTATTTACGTCCATTGACCATTTTATAATTGAATCACTCATTTTGCTTTTATTTATTTGTATAGCTGTCTGTAGATGTTCTAGATTAAACCTTTATCAGTGATAATATTTGCAAATATGTTCTTCCATACAGTGGGCTTTCTTGTTTTGTTGATGGTTTTTTTTGCTGTAAAAAAGCTTTTTATTTTGATGTAGTCTCATTTGTTTATTTTCTCTTTAGCTTCCATTGCCCTAGGAGCCGTTTCAGTGAAGAAGTTCTTTTGGCATATGTCTGAGATTTTGCTGCCTGTGGATGCCTCTCGTATTTTATGGTTTCCCGTCTTATGTTTAAGTCCTGTATCCAATTTAAGTTTATTTTTGTGTATGGTGTAAGTTGGTGATCTAGTTTCATTCTTTTGCATGTATCTATCCAATTGTCCCAACACCATTAATTGAAGAGACTGTCTTGACTCCATTGTATATCCGTGCCTCCTTTGTCAAATATTAATTGAGCATAGTGATTTGGGTTGATATCTGGGTTCTCAATTCTATTCCATTGATCTATATGTCTGTTCTTGTGCCAGTACCAGGCTGTTTTGAGAACAGTGGCTTTGTAATACAGTTTGAAGTCTGGTATTGAGATCCCTCCTACTTTACTCTTCTTTCTCAGGATTGCTATGGCTATTCAGGGTCATTTTTGTTCCAAATGAACTTTTGGAGAGTTCTTTCTAGGTCAGTGAAATATGCCATTGGTATTTTAATGGGGAGTGCATTGAACCTATAGATTGCTTTAGGAAATATGGACATTTTGATGATGTTGATTCTACCAATCCATGAACATGGTATGTTCTTCCATCTCCTTACATCTTCCTCTATCTCTTTTTTCAGTGTCATGTAGTATTCCACATATAGGTCCTCTACTTCCTTAGTTAAGTTTATCCTCAGTATCTTAACATTTTTGGTGCGATCTTAAATAGAATTGCTTTTTTAGTTTCTGTTTCTGAAATTTCACTGTTAGTGTATAGAAATGCCATGGATTTCTTAGCATTAATTTTGTATCCTGCTACTTTGCCAAATTCATTTATTAAGTCAATTAGTTTTTCAATGGAGTCTTTTGGGTTTTTTATGTACAATATCATGTCATCTGCAAATAAGGATAATTTTACTTCTTCTTTTCCAATTTGGATGCCTTTTATTTCCTCTTCTTGTCTAATTGCAATGGCTAGTAGTTCCAGTACTATGTCAAACAGGAGTGGCACAAGTGAGCATCCCTGTCTTGTTCCTGTTCTTAGAGGGAATGGTTTTAGTTTTTGCCCATTGAGTATGATATTGGTTGTGGGTTTATCATATATAGCTTTTATTATGTTGAGGTATGATCCTTGTACTTCCACCTTGTTGAGAGTTTTTATCAGGAAAGGGTGTTGGATTTTATCAAATGCTTTTTCTGCATCAATTGATATGACTATATGATGTTTATCTTTCAATTTTTTTATGTGATGTATCACGTTTATTGATTTGTGGATATTGTACCATCCATGCATTCCTGGAATAAATCCTACTTGGTCATGGTGTATGATCTTTGTGATGTTCTGCTGGAGCCAATTTGTAGAATTTTGTGAGGAATTTGGCATCTATGTTAATGAGGGATATTGGCCTGTAATTCTCTTTCATCAAGTTGTCTTTATCTGGTTTTGGTATTAGGGTGATGCTGGCTTCATAGAAGGAGTTTGGAAGTGTTCCTTCCTCTTGAATTTTTTGGAATAGTCTGAGGAAGATAGCTTTTAGTTCTTCCTTGAATGTTTGGTAAAACTCTCCTGTGATGCCATCCTGCCCTGGGCTTTTGTTTGCTGGAAGCTTTTTGATGACTGTTTCACTTTCTTCCCAAGTCACTGGTCTACTGAGATTTTTAGATTCTTCCAGATTTAATTTGGAAGGTTGTATTTTTCTAGGAATATGTCCATTTCCTTCAGGTTGTTCAGTTTGTTGGAATAGAGTTGTTCGTAGTATTTTGTAACAATCCTTTGTATTTCGGCGGGGTCTGTTGTTATTTCACCTCTTTTGTTTCTGATTTTGCTTATTTGAGTCCTCTCTCTTTGTTTCTTGGTTAGCCTGGCAAGAGGTCCATCAATCTTTTTTATCCTTTCAAAGAACCAGCTCTTGGTTGTTTTTTTTTGTTTTGTTTTGTTTTTGTTTTGTTTGTTTTTTTGTTTGTTTTTTGTTTTGATTTTTTGATCTTATGTATTGTTTCTTTGGTCTCTATGCTGTTTATCTCCGCTCTGATTTTTATTATTTCCTTCCTTCTGCTTACACTGGGCTTTTCTTGTTGCTCTTTTTCTAACTCTTTGAGTTGTAGAGTTAGATCATTTGTTACCATTTTTTCTTGTTTTTTTGCAATAGGCTTGTAGGGATATGAACTTCCCTCTCAAAACTCTTTTTGCTGTGTCCCATAGATTTAGGATTGTTGTGTTTTCATTGTCATTTGTTTCCAGGACGTTTTTAATTTCTTCCTGGATTTCTCTGGTAACCCAGCCCTTGTTTAATAGCATGTTGTTTAGTCTTCATGTGTTTGATTTCTTTGGATTATTTTTATTGTAGTTAATTTCCAGTTTTATGCTTGATATGATTTCTATCTTTTTGAATTTGAAGAGACTTTGCCTATGTGGTCTATCTTTAAAAATGACCCATGTGCTATTGAGAAGAATGTATATTCTGTAGCATTGTGGTAGAATGTTCTGAATTTGTCGATTAATTCCATCTGGTCTAGTGAGTCATTTTTGATTGATATTTCTTTCCTGTTTTTTTTTTTTTTAATTATATATTTTATTGATTTT